TACTCGAGCGTTGCGATCGCGAATTGGGAACCGTGTCTCAACGAGTTTACTGCGGAACTTGCAGACGACAGTTTATTTTTCATAATTTTACTATCGTAGAAAATATTTAAATATAAATAAGTTATTTTTGTGTGAATTTTGAAACGAAATCTCAACACTTTCTGAGTAAAAAAGAAAACAACACACCAATCAAAGGTGCTGAGAATTGTAACCAAAATCTTTGGTTTGCATGAGCATGGCAAAACTTTACACTGTTACAAGAAGGGAAAAAAAAGAACGAAACACGTGCTTTCCTCCGCCGTCCGCCGATGTAAACAAAAACTAAATCGATCGAATCGCCGGCAAGTTTCTTACGAAATCGTAAACTTTTTCTCCTCTAACTGAAAGAATGGCTAATTCGTCCATAATTTACGATTTGTGTATTATTGGTGCTGGAATGTTTGGGTCTGCTGCTGCCAAGCATGCTACTGCGTCTTTAAAAGCAAAAGTTTGCTTAATAGGACCCGAAGAACCCACGGTAATCTTTATGCTTTATAAAATTTTGAAACGCGCTTATGCAATGCTTTATGAAAAGTTGAAAGTTAAACGCTCTAAAAGTAAATATTTTTAATTTAAGTTTTAAATAGCATTCTGTGTTAATTTTTTACCGGTAACTTGTAATGCTGTCAATCCTTGTTATTATATATTTTTTAGATGTTTTACATTCTTACAAAATGATCAATTTATATGCATTTTTAGACAAATTTATTAGCAAAAGTGCGTGATTTATTTAAAAGAATCTGCTCATCTGAGGAATTTATTTTTACATATTTCAAATGAGTGTTTCTAAGTCTAGTCTATTTAATAGTTTATATACTTTGAGAGTTGCATGTTTTTTAATGAAACGATCAAATCTAAATGTGTTTTGCCTGAAAGACGAAATTCATTTATTTTTTTTAATGCATGCTTTGAAGTTGTTTCATGTATATTATGAAGTTCATATTTAAAATATATAAAGTGCAGCTTTTTGTCGCATTATTGTGAAATAAAAATTTTATTGTTTAACAAGTTAAAAAAATATTTCTCATTTTTTTAAAATATCTTATTATTAGTTTTTTTTAAAAAAAAAAATTAAATATTTGAACTTGCACCAGATAATTTAAAAAGTACCACTCTATCAAAGGCTAGTAGTGATTTTTCACATTACCACTATCTATAAAGACAGCTATAGCCTATTTGGCCCCTCTTTTTTTTCCCCTGTTGATTTGTAATTCAAAAAATAACTTATTGAAAGTATACTGAATATTTCAAACTTTTCAATATTTGAACTTTTCATTATTAAACTTTTCACAATTTAATTGCTTAATTAATCATTCATACGATTCATTCAATCATTAATCACCTTAGAGGAATTATGGAACCTTATACCAAGAATGACTAGTATGACCAGGTGGCCTCCAAGATATTTTGGTAGTTACTTCATTAACCACTGGTGTAGGTATAAGGTTCCATTTCGTAGGTTTTAGATACCACAGTTTCATTAAAAAAAAATAAGTCAACATATGATTATTTTTAGAGAAGAGAGAACTTAATTATCTAATAAACTAAAGTATAAGTTATAGTTTAAAAGTTCACAGTGTATGGTTTAATCACATATTTTTGTTTATTAAATCAAACAAAATACCAGGTTCTAATACGTTATTTATGAAATTAATTGTGACTATATTTCAAGATATTAGATGCCTTATTGATCTATAGACAAACAATCTGTGAAAAGCCTCACTGGCCCCTTCAGACTTTCTTAGTATTCAGCAATGTTCAGTCTTAGTGTTAAAATGATGCAAAAATAGATTATTTAAACAATGATATTTAAAAATAGATTATTTAAACAATGATAAAGAGATTATTTTAATTAATGAAGTTATTTATTCTTAGCTGGTAACTAAAATAACAATAATAAGTTAAAAACACGAAAACAAATTGTACTTTTTTCTCAATGCTATTCAATGTTTAAGAAAAAAAAGATAATGATTGTTAGTGTAGAAAATTATGTTCTTCATTTTATAAAAATAATTAAAATTTTTATATAATTGTAATAATAATTAATATACATTGTTTTCAACTGTTAATTTATTGTTATTATTTTTTAGAGAGACGAGTGGGAACAAAGGATGATTTTTAGTTCACATTATGATGAAGGAAGAATTGTTTCGGGAGATCCAACTAATCATAACTTGAACGTTTTATTAGAAGAATCTGTTCAAAAATTTCATGTTTTAGAGGAGGAATATGGTGAGTGTTTTTATCATGCAGGTTAATAGTTTTAATTGTAAAATTTTTATTTCGGAAAATATGTAAGAGATGCTAAAAGTGTGTAAAATCTGCAAAAAGGATAAAAATTTAAGAAAAGACAAATTTTAAAAAACCCTTACTCAAATAAAAACCCAGAATTTGTTTGAAAAACCGATAGATGTCACAAAATTAGGATTCATTTATTTGATATTTAGAAATAAAGTGGGAGTTTCTTAGCCTTCTTGCTGCAATTTGTGAAAACCCATGTCCTAAGATTACAGTTTTTTTTTTTCATTACAGTTTTTTTTTCATTGTTGTTATTAAAAATTATTTTTTGTTTATCAATTCAATGCTGCATCATTTTACCTCCCTTTATTTGACAAAAATCCATCTTTAAACTTTTCTTCAAGTCTATCTTTGTAAATATAACCTTTCTAAATTCAAGTTTTCATAATTCTGCTCAAACAAATCATTGGAAATTTTCTAATTTGCCATTGTTTTTATTGGTTTTAAATCAAGATACAGTTTAGGTATAAAAGATATTTAAATTACAGATTCGATAAAAATAAATTATATTGTTGCTGCTGTTTTTTTTATTTTGGTGCTAAATGATTCTGAAAATGCCTCTGAAAGATTCACAATTATAATAAAAGGAATAATTAAACCTGAAACAATTTACTTTGGATTGTGATTGTTCCTTAGAAAATGTCTAATTATTTGATTAATCTAGCAATCTCTTATTTCTTCTCCATAATTATTTTGGTGCCTTTCTGAATACTTAGGGAAGAAGCTTTTCAATAACACTGGATGTCTCTATCTGTATAGTTGTGAGGATGAAAGTGCTTTAAAGATTTTAAGTGAAATTAATAGTGGTGAAAGTCAGTTATTGGACATTTCTTCAAAAAGCCTTTTCTCAAAAGAGTTAGTTTATTTATTTGTTTATTTTTATTGCTTTCTAGTAGCTTTAACATTTCACTCAAAATAGAAGCTGCAGACTATTATATAATTATAGGATTTATACAATTTTATATAAAAATATGAATCCATATATTTAAAAAAATTTTTTTTTTAAAAAAACTTTGGGTATTTGTTCTAAATTTAACCTACATTTCCTATTTATATTTTATGCAAAATATCGTCTTTTCCAATTCTCTTTACATTCATTTTAGTTACTTAAAAAACTCAAATTATGTCCAAATGATAGTATATAGAGCAATTTGGACATAAATTTTTCTGCAGGAAAATTAGTGTACTAAGTTCTGCTCAACTAATAAATTGATCTGCAGGAAGATTGTTCGGTGATATAAGCCTCAGTTTTGACCATTTCTGTCTTTGGATTAGGCATTATTTTTCTTGTTATTGTAACAAGCACAAAAAAATTAAATGTGATTTAATTTTTTATTATAGTTTGATATTACTTTGATATTAATTTTTTTAATGCTTTATTTTTCTTTTAGATTTCCTTATATGAAATTTGATAGTTATAAATATGCTTTTTTTGATACCACATCTGGTCATGTAAGTCCTCGGGAAATAATAAAAGCTGAAAAATTGGTAGCTGAAAAGAATGGTTGTCATATTATAGATGATATTGTTAAAGATATAAAAGAAGTAGATCACCAATTAATTGAGGTGAGTGTTACTACCCTGACTTATACATCATCACATATATAGTGTAGTATTTTATAAACAGTGAAACCTATTTTGATGTAGTTTATTTTCTCCTTACTACTTTGTCTTCCATTTTTATACTACTAAAGTAATTCTATACTAGTATACTAAAGTAAAGCAAAACTACTAAAGTAAATTTCTGATTCTCAGACTGATATCTGCAACTTGCTGAGCAGATATATAGTGTAGTATTTTATGTAAAGCAAAACCTATTTTTATGTAGTTTATTTTCTCCCTACTACTTTGTTCTCTATTTTAATACTTCTAAAGTAATTCTATACTAGTATAATAAAGTAAAGCAAAACTACTAAAGTAAATTTCTGATTCTCAGACTGATATCTGCAACTTGCTGAGTAGAAGGGGAAACGAAAAATTTGCTTGAATTTTCGAGAAGAGCCTTTAATTATTTTTTAAAAAACAAATTTTTTTTTTTTTTTTTTGAGTAAATTTCCTTACTTTGCCATGAATTTCAATAAGTTTAACTTACTGCTTGAATGTTATTATGTAATATAAATGCTACACAAAATATGTATAATTTATCATTTATTTCCTATAATTTAAAAATTAAATTTCATAAAACTAAAATTATTAAAAACTAATATTCTTTTAATCGTTTTTTCAATAAATAAAGATCATTAAAACATTTAGTACTTTAATAATTTTCTTCATAATAATCAAAAATTTCTTTATATTGATCTTATTACATACATTTATATATAGCTTNAGTAAAAGTAATTATTAAACTTTTGAAACTTTACATATATATATATTTTTTAAGAAAAAAATATCAGCAATTTTTTTGGCATAGTTTTGCAGTTTTGGAAGTTTTTCCTTTATCTCCCATGAGAAATGATCTGGCAAATTTTATTGCATTGTATTGTAGTATTTTGTATGTGTACATAGTGTCTTATTTCAGTTTATTGTTTGTTTACTCCTTTCTGCTGTCATTTTATCGCTTAAAATACTTAAAAAAATTTTTTATAATGTTCCACATAATATTTAAGAATAAACTTTCAGTTCTTTGCTTGATCTTTTTGTTATTATGAGATTCATTAACCCTTTTGTTTTGTTATACCCTGAAAGAAGGCTTCAATATATAATTTGTTTTAGTATTATATTTAAGTAATTTTCAAATAAACTTAAAGTTATATTATTTAATAAAATATATTACTTTTCGTTTCATAATTAAGCTTCTCCTTATTTTCTTAATGATCTTTTTGATCATTATTTTTAATAAATGTCTTTCACTAAATTGCAGTCACTTATGTTTTATCTTTATTCATTCATCAGAAGGTTTAGAGTATTACATTATATTTAAAGAATGATTTTATTTTGACAGATTATCACTGAATCTCAAAGATTGATTAGAACCAACAAGCTATTAATTTGTGCTGGAGCTTTCACAAATTTTATTCCAATCTTTGCTTCAAGGGAATTAAATATTACAGTAAATAAAGAAACTTATATTTTAATAAGAATTTCAAAAGAAGAAGCTGGGAGATTAAGGTAAAATTAATCCTTTTTTTTCTTTTAGGAACTATTATTAAGTGTCTAAATTGGGGTTGGTTATTTCAGTTGAAAAACAGGCTGATACCATGAAAAACTGTCAAAAAATCTAATTTGATACCTGAGCATGAGAAAAGATCTAAACAAGAAGAAGTGTGCAATAAATTCAACCAGAATTAAATGTAACCAAATCATATTAATAAATAAATTTAAATTCATTTATTTATTTATTAATATAAATAAATAAATTTAAATTTATGTAGATCATAATCATATTTATAATATCATATATGTGATATATATATATATCATATCACATATCATATCATATATATCGTAAATTCAACTTAAATTAAGCTTAACCTAATTATATTAATAAATAAATTTAAATTCATTGTTCAATTATTTTAATTACATTAATCAGCCATTCTGCTTACACGCTATAACATGTCAAATACTCCCTAAGTCTTAGATTAAATGCGAAAAATGAGTTTTGACATCTCCTGTAAAATGCATAAGTCGCTAAAGCAAAAAAAAGAATAGTTTACCACCTGATATATGAGAACAAAATTATTTTTAATTTGAAAAGAATTCTTTTTTTCTTCATTAATATCTGTTGAAGAAAATAAGAGTAATTCTAGCATTTCTTTCCTTTTGGATGAAGAAGAAAAGTATCTTTAGAATATAATTCTGCAGAAAAAAAGAACATTTTTTTTTTTTTTTTTTTTTTTTTTTTTTTTGTATTTTTTTCAGCTATTTCAATGCTGTCATTCCTTCTTTACTATGTTTTTTTAAATTTAAAATCTATAAATATGAAGATGCAGAGTATAACAGTTTTGGCTATACCTTCAATTTGCTTATATTTCAATTAATGTTATTATAATGCTTTTTCAAAATTTATTGTTCTTGTCAGAGAAAATAGTACCTTCGTTTAGTCAGGAAAAATTCTGGGAATTAGTTATGGAAAGTCATGGATTTGAAAATCTAAGATGTAGCAGATTCCCTGAATATATTTTTTATAATAGCCAGTATTTTTTAAATTTTTTTTTTAAAGAAAGAAAATTAGTTATATGTAATTGATTAGCTGTGTTGTTGCCAAAATCTTATGAAAACTGAGATTGAAAGAACTCGGAAAATTTTGTTCCAGGAAATAATTATAAACTCTGAATCTATCAATACATATTTACCAAATCCATGTTAGCACAATAATATGACTATTAGTTTTTTTATTTGGTGTAACTTCCTATACTTTAAATGACATGTTTTAATGTTAAGCTTTATACATAATTTCATTGAACTTTATTTTTATACTTATATTTTCTTATGAATTACAGTACTATGCCAACTATGGATGTTTTCTTTGAAAGCTGTGAGGAACAGCCTCACCTCTATGGTGCATACATTTTACCACCCATAAAATATCCCGATGGTAAAATCTATATAGCAGAATACTTATATGTGTAATATACCTAATTGCTTTTTAAACTGTTGCCGTTTTAGTGTACCTCCCATGACCACAAACAATTTTTTGTGTGTCATTTGTATTGTTGTGGCTTTTTGTTTAAGTGATATGTGTTACATAGTGTTCCTTTAGAAAAGATTTTTGAACAATGACAGCCATGTTTATACTGTTGCTCAGTTTCGTTTGAAAAATTTTTTTCTTCCAAGAAACGTATTCCTAAGTATTTTTCTGTTTATTAAAAAAAAAGCCTTGAATTATTACTTTAGATATTTAGCTGTTGAACTGTTGATCCTGGAAATAGTTTGGTACATGTCATGTTGCACATTATGCATAGAAAATTGTAGTTTTTTTTTATTTGCTAAGAAAGCATTGCTTTTAGAAAAACTTACTTAATTACAGGGACAAAATTTCGAAGTTTTCAAATGGCAACACCCGTTTTTTTTTTTAAATCAAAATTTAACTCTTACAGTACAGATCCTAAATTGAACTATGGTCATGTAAAAACAATTGGATATAAAAAAAAAAAAGAAAAACGCGACATGTCCAAAAATTTTAAACATTAAAATCTTTGTAAATTTTTTTCTCAGTTTTTGAAAGGTTTTGATCACTCTCTTCTCGTTAGTGGTCACGAAAAATGGCGACCCTTGGCAAAAGTAACGTGTCTCAATTTCTTGCACTAAAAATATCTTTCTAACTCCAATTAAGGTTTTTTATTGTAAGGATTAAGTTTTGATAAAATTTACTGCTGCCATTTAAAAACTTCATAATTTCGGCATTATATCTGTAACTGCGAGAGCTATGAAATCGGTTATAGAACCATTTTTGAGTTTCCAATCACTTAAACAGTATGTCCTCCAGAGGACATACTGTTATATAATATAATATGTAAGCGAAATTTTCTTATAATCAACCTGTATGTAGAAGGGTAGGTATGCTTTCAGCTTAATGATCAATGCCACTTTTATAATTGCTGAAATTACTTGTAATCTTTTGTTTACAAATTTCCAAGGCGGACGGGTTTTTCAATAGTAGTATGTTAAAGATATAATGGTATTGCTTTTATACAAATACATGTTGTTTTTAATATTGTTTAATTTTACCTATTTATTTTTATAACTGGCATTGAACAGCTGACCCAATTTTGAGCTTATGAATAGCAATGTTCAACTTGTAATTTTGAACCCAACCCAGAAGACAAGGAAACTCCTGGATGAAGCATTGGGGCTAACTAGCCTTTCTGAAGAGTTTTTTATTGGAACTAACTTGTACTTGCATTGCATGGAGAAAAAACCTCCTACTTTAGCAATTTTGAACCCAACCCAAAAGACAAGGAAACTCCTAGATCAAGCATTAGAACGAACTAGCGTTTGTGGAGGATTTTTTATTAGTACTAACCTGTATTCGCATTATAAGGAGAGATAAAACCTTGAAAACCTCCCACAGTTAACTCAACAGCAAGGGGGATTCTAACCATGAGGATATTTTACATCAGTACTGAGGTTTGAAAAGCAGAGAGCAGAACTTGTATACACCAGCAGCAGTTTGGATTTGAACCTGGTTCACTTCGTCGGGCATCCATCGCTCTATCCTTGTGCGTATTATGCTTAATGAGAATAATGCCAGTGCATAAGTAGGTTCTCGATGAAAAAGATAAGAAAAATCCAGATTACAAGCCTGTCACCTACCAGCCTAATTTGTTTTTCTTGCTAATAAAAGTTCTTTTTAACTCTATTATTAGGAAACAATTGTCACTGTAATATTCTCCAATGAGGTAACAATTGAATGCAGCATGATTTGTTTTTATTTTTCTTTGTAGGGAAATATTATTTAAAAATTGGACATAAAGGAAGCATAGTTAACTCTGAACTGAAAAATTTGAAGGAAATTAAAAATTGGTACAATTGTAGTGGAGAGAAGTACATATCGGAGCATTATTCTAAAATAATTCAAGATCTTTTTCCAGGTAAGTTTTTGATTTTCTCACATGTAATTTTACATGACTGCTTTTTGTTTGTATAAATGGAACGAACTTTATTTTTTTATATTTCGGCCTAACAATTTTCACTTTGTTTTTCAAATCTCTTTTTTTTAATGCGATATTTTAAATACGATATCATTAGTACTGATATATTCGGTATTGTGCGTTTGACTATTTAAACATTTGCACGAGTAATTATATTTAATATTTACCATTCAGCGATCATTTGATTGCAATAAGTCACACTGCAATGAATCTATTGAAATCTCTGCCTCACACAAGGTATTGCGATACCACTCTAAAAAATAATTGCATGAATCCTCATTTTCCCAGTAGTATTTTTTAGCACTAGCAAATTTTGCTACTGATTAAAAATATAAAATATTGCCCTTGTACCTAACCAATGACAACTGATTCAGGTGATGTAGCTTTTTTAACTGGTACTTTGCTTTGTTTGTGCTTGAGTTAAATCTGAGTAGTTAAAAGTTTATCTAAGACATCTCTCTGTCCCAGCCTTCTTGTGGTGAGGCTTTTATAATGTTTGCGAAATTATCAAATATTTTAAAAGCATTAATTTCTTATTCTCTACAATTCTATCAAATATTTTGGAAAAAGTGTAGTAGTTTGCAGTCCTGGCATTCCATAGTTGACATTTCCCGCATTAGTTATGTATTCTGACAGCTGGGCTTCTTTTCCTTTCTATATTTTTTTGAACATGAGTCCTATAAGTTTCAACTTGTTTAAAATACTTTTCATCGTAAATTCTGTTTCACCTCTATAGCAAATTTAAAGTAGAAAAAGGGAGTTCAGGCAAACCTAGATAAGCTACACAGTTTCGAATACTGAAAAGAAATTGTCAGCATATCAAAATGATCCAATTCTCTTCCAATAATTTTTTGCATTGTTATGTTTTCAATTTTTTTGCAGCAATCGAAACTTTATTTCTTACTCTAGGTTTGCCTGAACTCTTTTTTTTTCAATACTTTTCATTTTAAATTAATTATGGAACTGAAGCAGAATTTGCAATGAAAAGTTTCTCATGCGATATAGTTTCCTCTTAAGTGGGGGATATACTCAGTGATATAGTATTTGGGGTTGAAGCATCTCCAAAATAAATGTTTACTATGCAAAATATAAAATGGTTTTAGGTTGTTTTTTTTTTTCATGAATCAATGACTATTTATTTAATAAAAATATAAAATTTAATTATAATTATTTAATGAATAAGATTTTAATCATATGTAATTAATATACACCATGTACTTTACTGCATTTATAAAAAAACTGACTTTACCAAATAAATCAAAATTCAAAGGATGAAATGGGTAGGCCATCTAATGAGATCAGCAGAAGAATTTACATCGAAAAATATTCTTATGATTAGGCCATCTGAAAATCGACCAAAAGGTAGACCCGAACTCAGATAGTCTGATTTTGTAGATAAGAACTTCCTTATATTGTACTATAAAAACTAGATAACAGGTAACAGGGAAAGAGAATACTTAGCAAGGTCATGGCCCACCAATGGCTGTTGCACCAGTTATGATAATAATGGTATTTAACATATTCTGACATTGAGATATTTATAAACAATAAAAAGTAAAAACGTTTAATACTTAAAAGTCTCAAAGAAGTGTTTTAACTACGTTTTGATATACATTTTCAGTCCATATTTTGCTGTATTTGCTTTATTCAATATTTCAGATTTAAAGTTTGAGGAGATGTTACCAAAAACCTGTGTAACCTGCTCAAATCCATCTGAATTGCCATATATTGATAACATTTCTCCAAACATCATTGTGGCTGCAGTTGGTAATGGATCTGGAGTAATGATGTGTGAAGAAATTGGTAGTATTGCTGCTGAGTTAAGTGTGGAGTCTACGTGGAATTCCAAACTTTCAAAGTCCTTATTTAGGGCTATTTTTCGTAGTTAAAAGAAATGAAAAAGTTTTTAGTAAGCAATTAAAGGATGAATAATTACGTATTTAGTATCTGATAATTAAATTATTTATTGATTTTTTATTAAATAAGAAAATTGTGAAAAGAAATTTTTTAACACCATAAAAAATAAATATTTTATTTTTAAAACATTAGTATTTGCCTTGAATTTTATTGCATTGGATTTGTAAAAATCTTTTTAGTGACTATCTTTTTATTTATCTACTTTGGTAGTTTTTTTTCCTAACAGACATTACTGGAAAGCTACATTATTTGTGATGGTTTGAAAAAAAAGAACATTGTTATTTATTTAGTACTATAGTTACAATAAATGTAGGTAATATTTTTGGACTAGTACGATAAAGTTATTGATATATTTCAATGCAGTATTATATGATTAAATTGATAATCTTTTCATAATTGTCTTTGCATAATTTAAAATTTTTTTTACTGTTCCTTAATCATTTATTTATTATTTTTTTTACTGGAAATGAACTCTTACTTAACTAACTCAGTGGCGCGACAGCCCATTAAGAGGGCCAAGGCCGACTGTGCCCATCTCAGTTTTCTTGACCTTGGGCTCTGGGGTGCAGGAGCATATGTTCCGGTCAGGTGGTCAGCCGAACGCGGAACCCCCAGTGAACGCTTACTTAAGTGTAAGATAATCATATTGTGTACTTAAATATTTTACATACATATTTTTTTCATATTTTTTGTTAAAAAAATTACATTAAAATTTATAGTTAGAGTCAAAGAAAACTCATTAAAATGCATTTACATATTTTTTAACAAGAAAACTTTAAATGTTAAACTTATAAAATTTGGCAAAATTTTCACTCTGTCAAAGATTTCTCAAAATTCATTCTTGATTTAAATTTTGCGTCATTTGTGCTATTAGACGTTGTAAAAGATGAAAAAAAAACTAGGACAGAATAACCACTAATAGGTGTGAGGTTGTTAATACTAGATCGCTTTAACAAAAGAATAACACGTTTTCACTGTAAGACAATTTTGTTCTATTTTTTTATTCATTTAATACTCTATTTGAATGCTTAGAATCTCTTAAAAATCATTCCCACAACACCCCATTGTAAGCCAGGGGGTGATGAAAGTTAAGGCTCCACGATGTGTTCAGCACTGTGCACAGATCGCCTTTAATTCTCAGGCAAGCTGGTAGTCATAGATCTGAAACTGAATTGGCTTCAAGCCGTCACTGGGGATTGAACCTCTGTTCTTCACAAAGGCAATTCAGAAACTTTAATTACTAAATTATCACAGCTCTAGAATTCTTCTAGATTATGCAATTTAATGCATAATCTAGATATACCTTCTGGATTAATCATTTAATTGCATTAGGTTCAACTGATAGATTCTAAACTTTTTTTCTGAGGTTTTTTTGACTTCACCAAACATTACGCATTTTTTGCGAAATGAATTGAATGCCAAATCAACAAAATTAGACCACAATGCTAAATGGTCATTTTGAATTTTGACAAATGCATGCATTTGTATTAAAAGTGTTTCCATTGCCCAATATACCGTCAGATGCGGTGACTTTGTGCAAACTGCCATCTAGGGGTATTTTTTTAAAGCTCGGTATCAACTGATTTGAGTTGTCAACATAACGAACGAATGGTTTACCAAGAACTGGCTATGTTAACATCATCATTTTTGAAAAAATTGTGAGCTCAAGTTACAAACAGTTTCAAATTTTTTAATGTCGCAAAATCGGGGGCTGGAAAGTGTGCTCGGTTGAAGAAGTTCTAGTTATCCTGGCCAAAAAGGTAGGTTATACTTAAAAAGTCTTATCAATTGAGGTAACAAATCATGCATAATTTTTTGTTTTTAATTATTATAATGTTAGTTATTTAATAATTAGCAGTTTGCACGAAGTCACCCTTCATTGCACAAAGTCACCCCCTTCTGACGGTACTGTTCCATTTATAACCTTATACTATATATTTTATGAATCAATGAAAACAATCGTAATTTGAAGCGAAAACTTTGAAATCGAAAATCAATCACCGTGAAAAAAGTGCAAGATTCAGCAATTTTATCAGGCAATCTTTACAAATTTTGTCTACCAATGCAATGGAGATCTGATTAAGAAAAGTTGAACTCATAATCTTATGATTATGAAACGTCGGATTAAGAAAGGATCCTTAAAACTCAAACCAGGTACAGTGACTTGTCAGTCACAAGGTAATATAAATGTATTAACAATAATTTAATGGTAAACTACAAAATACATATATATATATATATATATATTTTTTTTTTTGGTGGACTTCACTGTTGCTTTCTCAATGTTGCTTAGACTTGTTTTTTCTCTAATTAATCATCAGAAAATTCGGCCTTAAATCTTGATTGCGAAACACGAGAATCCCACAAGCCATCAATGCAGAGTTTCGCAGCCAATCTGCCAACTTCATCAGAGAATTTCGCTCCTTTTCCATTTCCTGCTATCGCCACTGTTAGAGTAGGAGTTATTCGATCGATATAAGGTAGACCTGATGGAGTGTAACAGTTGACACACGTAGAGCTAGTGACTTCTTCCGATTTTAGACCTAAAAATTACAAATTAAATTAACAAAAGATAGGACAGCTTGCTTACATCGTTTAGTGAACTCATTCCTTTTACAAGTGCATTAGGCTATTTGAACTGATTTTTTGAATTTTAATTTCGAATAAAGATTTAAGCCCTAAATCTTAATATCGATTATCAAAACTTTTAAAGGAGAAACAAAAACACCACACACTCAAAAGTAGTTGACTTTAGATTCATGGCATTTCCTCAGAGCCTGACTTAGGTAGGTTCATGCGGGGCAGTTGCCCCACATCAGAGAGGGCCCCCGATTCGAATACGAAGTTTATTTTACGTTTCTTTCTTTAATGAACTTTTTTTAAACAAAATATCAGTTTAGTGTAAAATCCGTTTTATGTTAGCTTCTTCATTAATCTATCGTATGAACACAAGAAATCTATATTTCGTAAATCCATGGCTTTCTAGGGCAGCAAATTTTCGGAATTACGATGGACAAATTTGGCCAAACAAAAACATGTATTTTTACATTTAGGTGAAAAATTTAAATACCTCCATAAAGTTTGGGTACTCATTACTGAAGTAGTGATAGTGAAGAAGAGGAAGGGGGGCAAAGAAGTTTTTGTCCCGGGTCCCAATTAGGCTTAGTCGGGGCCCTGCATTTCCTGAACAAACGTAGCTATAACTTTTAGTGTTCATTCTTTTTGTGGTTGAGCATTATTACTTCTAAAATATATTAGTAAAAAGGTTTTTTCTTTTAATATTTGCACTAATTTCTTTGTTTTAGCTATGCCAAATAGTTATAAATAAATACGAAGCAACATTTAGTAAAAAGGAGCGATGATTAAAGAAAATACTGTCTTAGCTGGTATGAAATAAAATCCTTAGGGGGCACTTTCTCTTCCGACTGAAATCAACTGTCAAAGGGGTGGAGAGCAGAAGGAAAAGTTCTAGATAAGCTTTTAATTTTTCCGTTTAATTTTCACTAATAAATTGATGATGGATATTTACTCTATTCGGCACTATTTTTCGATACATGTAAAATATGAGGACGCCACCCGATCAGAGTTTGAGATATGAAACGTGCAGTATTTTAGATTCTTTATTAATTTTTTCTCACACAATTATGCCAATTTAGTTCTGCAATCAGCAGTTTTTTTAAAGATATTTAAATTTTTAAACAATTATTAGATTTTTTGATTAGTATCTTTATTTATTTTCCCCAACTATCGTTAAGGGAAGTTTTTAGCTTCATCCAAATCGCTTTTCTTCAATTTAAACTGCAATAACATTAGATTTAAAAAAATTAAAAACTAAGAAATGTATAGCTTTAAATTACTTATTCAAAACCAAAAATCGCATCATTTTATTTCGTAAAAGTTTTGAGGAAAAATTCATAGTTCTAAAAGCGCTATTTCTTCTAATCTAATAAAGCTACCCCTTTATTTTCTACCTTTTTTGAAAGGTACTACGCTGTCAAATTATACTATACCATAAAAAGTTTGTTAAGTAGAAAAAAAAATATTGAAAAACGCAAATTAAAAATATAACCTATAATCCAAGATGGCGGGGATAGATTCTTCTTAAGCTATGCGAAATAGTAATTAATAAATAAAAGGCAGTATTTGGTCAGAAGTAGTGATGATAAAATAAAAGTTGAATTTGGTAGAAACGCTCATATAAAATGGAAAAATACTGTCATAGCTGGTATGAAATGGAAATTTCAATTTTTCATTTGTGTTTTATAGACTTTGAACTCTAAAAGTAATGTTACTTTTTTTCAAATAGTTTTAAAAATTTTTTTACATATTCCTAAACCAGTGTTTCCCAAACTTATGAATTTTGTGTACCCTTTCTAAATTTTTCGTAACGCTGTGTACCCCCAATAAAAAAATGAATGTATTTTTTACTATTAAAAAAAAGTTAAAAATCATAACTGGCTGTTGACATCACTAATTATTAACTGTTAACTCTGCAAAAAATAGCCAATAGAAAAATACGTAATCGTAAATTTTCATGGCTAGTTTTGTTTTTAAATAAATTTTTTTTAAATTCTCATATGTTGCAAGATATTTCGCATAAGAACGCGTACCCCCGCGAAACTGTTACCGTACCCCTGGGGGTACGCGTACCACACTTTGGGAAACACTGTCCTAAACTATTAAAAAAATAGTTACCTGGTATTCGTTCAAATAATAATTTCACTCCAAGATCAATTGATTCCTTATCACCTTCTGATAAAAACCATTGTTTAATATCATCTAGTTTCTCAACTTCCATATCACTTCCATAATATCCTATCTTGAGATAAGTGTTTCCTGTGAGGAAATGCATTAAATAGAAAGTAATTACTCATACATTATTGTATTCCCTAGCAGCAAAATAACTTGGTCCCTCATCGGACCAATATTCATAAATCTTGGCTCAATATGGATTCAAAAGGCCGTTATTTTTCCGTTGTTGGCCTTATATTGAATTGTATGATTCATCCGATATTTTACAGTCAATATTGGTCCTATTTAGAATTATCAGATTCACTCGATGTTTTATATTTATTTAGCCAAGGTCGATCTTATACAGGCCATTCTAGGACCTATATTAAAAAATCTAGACATCCCAATATTGGTCCCATATTGAGCCAATTCTGAACCCAACTGGGACCAAAGTAAAATTGTTTCTAGGGTTGGCTTTAGGGAACATATGGAAATATTAGCTATGCAACATGAAGTTAAACATTAAGGTGGACATTATTTCAGTTGTTAAATGTTTTGCTCCAACTTATTTTATTTGGAGGCCGGGATAGAGCACTGAGCCCATGTCCAAGAGTTCGTGGGTTCAATCCCCGCCGGCCGAAGACTGCACGTGTAGTAAATGTAAATAGTGACTGTCGAGTCGCAAAGTCCTCCATGTTCCCATAACAAATCAAAATCTCTGGGGGTACTGATCCAGGTGTTTCCTTGTCTTCTGGATTGGTTCAAAATTACAAGGCTACGGCGGTCAACATTGGTAACCATAAACTCAAAATTGGTACGGCTGTTCAAAGACAGTTGTAAAATAAAATAAAATAGTTTATTTATTTTTAATTTTCAGTTATTTTAAACATGTCATTTAAGTCAATTTTAAACAAATGAAAAAAGTTAATTCTAAAGATTAATGTAATCAAATAAAGTGACAAATATTGAGCACGAAGTTTTAAAAAATTTAAAAGCTAAATTCCTGATTAGATTCTGTCTACCTTTCTTTACAGCGAATTAAAACTCACCAGGTGTTATAGTGGGATTTCAACGTATGAGGTTTCAATTTTTCGGATCAAAAATGCTATGCTAATTAGAAGTAAAATACAAAAATAGTTATTTATAAAGAAATATAATTATTTCTCTTCATGAACTTGAGTCTAATAATTTTCTTTTCACACCAAATTTTGAAACTCGTTTGCTCAAAGGTAATTTGTAAATGAAGTACTTATGATCCTAAAATAATTTCATTTAGCATTATTTTTTTTTTGTTATTCAATTTAATAATAATTTAAGAATTAAAAAAATTATTATTTTGACTTGTAAAATTATATACTGAAACTGAAATTTTGAAATAATGATAAAAAAAAAAATTCTCAATGTTATTAAATCGAGTTTGACAAACTGCAATTTTTTCATATGGTGTTCACTATCTTTCTAAAAAGTATTCGGACATTCACCTGAAAAAGTGGAAGCATCGTGGTTTGGGTATGTTTTTCATAGCTTGGTTTGGGGCCTATAAACTCTTTAGATGTATAGTCTGTCTAAGCTAAGAACTACTCCAGCCACAAAGTCTGAGGCGATCTGATGCTATGGGAACAAGAATGGCGCATTTTAGGGAGAGTAGCTTCACTCTAGGACTAACACAATTGAGCAAAGAAAAAGATTCCCGCCGACCCGAGCTGAAACCACTCCAAAACAGTGACCCCACACCCTTACTTGAAATAGTCATACCTTACCATAGTCACCGCCAGAGGTCCAGACGAATGTCTGGAGGAGTTCTTATTTTAGACAAACTATATGTGGACATTCTGTACAATGCAGTTCTACCAACTCTATTGTTCAAAAGTATGCAGGCTGTCATCCATGCAAAAAGGGAACCAGCATCATATTAACATATGCCTCAGGACCACTGGGTATTGGGCTGATTTTTGACCGATACTGTAATACAGTTTTCTAATATTGATATCGTAACGCTTGAATAAGCCATTTGGGGAGCAGACCGGTTCCATGCGTTTGGCCCTTCTCCCTTCCCTCTCCTCCTCTTTTCAGTTGTATAGGAATGTACTACGATATTTTTCTTTTATTAATATTTTTCGTTTTTAATTAATAAAAATATTTTGTACAATTTCCATTATGCTTTCTTTTAGAACTTTTTTCAATTCCATATAGTTTCCAAACTTAAAATATTTTTATCTATATGAAAATCAAGACAGAAACTAACATAGTATTTCCTCGCCACTTCGCGCTTCATGTTTTGCGGCTTCAGTGCTTCGCAGGTTTTTCCAAAATATTCATCAAAAAATAAAAATGAAAAAATACAGCCATGTCGGCAGCCACATTGCGGAAAGGAGCGTTGTTTCATGTTGGTGAGCAAGTTGTTGTTGTAGTTCATTTACGTTGCACTAGAGCTGCACAATGGGCTATTGGCGATGATCTGGGATGATCCGAAGACATGCCATCACAATTTTGATCTTCTGCAGAGGGGATGGCACCCCCGCTTCGGTAGCCCGACGACCTGCACGCGAAGTCGAACACTTCACGGTAGAACAGTTTGAGGATCAATACCGCACCCCCTCGGTCCCAACTAGACGAATCCAAATGGTCACCCACCCGCACACTGACCGCAGCCAGTGATACTTGACCTCGGTGATCTGCTGGGAGCCGAGTCTTAACGGTCAGTCCACTGCGGGACTGTTGATGCGCGAGGGAGAAGGATACCTGCATGTCGAACAAAGATATGAGTTGACTCATAGTACATATACCATGGGATAAATACTGTTTATATATGTAAAACATTCGTGTACCCGCATACACGAAAATTCCTATCGGCAAATCCTACTTCGCTGTTTTTCAGCTTTCGCGGAAGGTTCTGGTCGTCATTAACAGCGAAAAACGAGGGATCACTATACTTCCTTTATCTATGACTCTTTACACGCTAATGGTGAAAGCATGCGAAGTTCTTCCATAGTTCTGCTCTACGCCACATGAGTTTGGTTACTTTCGGTATTTTCATTAAGCATGATAAGAGGTACATGGCTGTTTGTAATTGAAAAATATAAATCAGTATAAAAAACCAAGAAATATGAGAATATGCTTACCGTCAGGGTATTTTATTGGAGGTAAAATATAAGCGGATCTTTCCTTGTGTGGAGGATTATCGTATTTTCCTCGATAGATTAGTGATGGCATCGAGCTAAAAAATAATATTTAACTTTTTCCTCTGTACAAACAAAAAATAAAAAAAATTTACCATTTAGAAAAAGAAAAGGTGTATTCTAAACAACTTACCAACGAATGAGCTGGGGCTTATAATATCTGAATATTGAAATTTTTTCACTGTTTATGTACAGCATTTAATTTAACATTACCAAAAAATAATTTGAACTTAACTATAAAAAAAAAATGTTATTTACTTTTATTTCTTTGTTTGAAAATTTTTAAAGTCTTTCTAACTCAGACTCATTATATGTGGATACTTTGCTATGTGTAATTATTATTAACGTCGGAAATCACTTTCTTAATACATTCCTAAGTATCAAGTAATACACCACTTTTTTAAAAAAAAATTAAGCATATATATTAATATGCAATATTTTTGTGGTAGTCCACATAAGCCTGTTCAAAATACAGCGCATGTTTAAGTGCTTAAAATTGTAATTTAAATACCATTTTACTACCACTGTGGAAAATCATCCTTGATACGGGATTAAAAGTTGGCAGGTATGATATATATATATAATAACGCTTCTCTCCCCCCAGATTCACTTTTTCACACTGACCCTAGCCAAGACCTGTCTTGTATATTTAACCAACCCCCTTATCTGTAATAGTTAAACATCGTAACCATAGTCACCAACACTGCTTCAGACACATGGCGAGGAGAGTCCTTTCCATAGACAGACCATATGTTTGTCGAGTGGTAAAGGCGAATAACACCACTGGTTTTTGTAATTATTATTTGTTTATATTTGTTACGTTTTGACAATTATTCTTCCATTGGAAATAAAAAAAAATATGTACTTTGTTTTAGAATGTCACTGAAGCCTGCCATTGTTTTAGAAATGTTTAAGCATGTTTCATACCTCAACCTCTTTGCTTCCTCTTCTGAAATTCTTAGTAAAGCTACACTTCTTTTGTATCTCGTAACTTCCAGAGATCTCAAGACGCTGAAGAGTTTTGTATTAATAAAAGCTCCAGTTGTTATCAACAATCTTTTTGATCGAATAACTGTAGGAGTGGAATCTTCTGTTTCGATCTGAAATCGAATATTTATTTTTATGCATTATCTTACCCTTTCTAAATACAGTAGAGCGCCGATTATCCAAACTGCTCGGGACCGAACGTGGTTTTGATAATGAACAGTTCGGATAATTGGAAAGTTACCAAAGGTCTAGTCATATTAGGTCTGGTTAAGTGCCATTGCCCGGTATATCCTACACTGATGTTTTCTTACGGTCAAGCGCAATTGCCCGGTATACCCTACACTGATGTTTTTTTAAGGTTCAGTGCCACTGCCCCGGTATACTCTGCACTGATGCTTTTTAATGTCAAGTGCCACTGCCCGGTATACCCTACACTGATGTTTTTTTAAGGTCAAGTGAAACTGCCCGGTATACCCTACATTGATGTTTTTTTTAAAAATCAAGTGCCATTGCCCGGTATATATTTTCCCGATACTCCAAACACTGATGTTTGTTCTAATCTATCGTCAGTAAGTATTAAAATATCGAATAAATCCACGAATAAATTAATATCAAATCGGAGGTAATAAATATTTCGGACATTCACCAAAGCGACTAATTTGATTGTCAACATTCACCGGTGAAAGTCAACAACCACTGATTTCGCTCATTCACAGTAACATGCACATCATTTACATAATAACCTCATCAGGACGATTATTTCATACTTTGCCTAAATAGCATCCGGCATTTCAAAAATTAAAAATAATTGGTTTTGTTGGCGATGATCTCGTAAGGCGATAAAGAATCATGCATAGGACAGGTAAGGACGATATTAATCTCGAAGGAAAAGTGGATGAATAACCCAAGAAACCCTTTAATACACAGGCTTATTGTATTAATGGTCTCTGAAACCTAATCGCTAAAAATTACAAAATGGTCATCTTAATCATCTTTTCTCTACAAAAAAAAAATCACTACTTGCCTTTTATGGAATGCTTCTCTACAAGACAAATCGACTGTCGAAACATGTTTATTGCTTGCTTGTTGAACTTGTTTCAAATAGGAGTCATGTTTTTCAGAAATTATTAAACAACCTATAGAATTATAGAAGTTCACTCCTGGAAACATAAAAATGCTTACATTTAGGAGTTGTAATGAATATATTCAATGAATTAATAGAAGAAAGTTATTTCTAGTATCAGTTATTATAAATTCTATGCGTGATATTTTCTAATATATAAAATATTTTTCTGACTTCATACAAGATCGTTCAATGCCAAAACTTCACATTATCCTGATGAAGTGTTTTAAGAGAGCAAAATAATTTCGTGTTTGTAATGGGGGGTTACCACCTAATCCCAGCTAACCATGAGCTCATATCAACCTTGTTCTACCTAGAAGTTGTCGTACTTTGGGGAAGGTGCTATTTTATATAGTATTTCAAGTATTTATTTGTAGTTATGTAGTTAAGTAACATTTTGTATGAGTGGTTTTAAGTACAATATTTTTTCTATTTAATTTCAATTGGTATTTTTTTTTCTTGGATGGGCGAACATTTGCCTAGCTAAACTTATTGCATCTTCATTTTGAAACATAATAACCCCAGAAAATAACAAATAAAAGAATACTTCTTTAGAAGAAGTATATTTACACATAAAATAACAAATAAAGGAATCATGTTCACGACATCTGATTTAGTATAAATGAAATTTTAATTTTTTTTCTTTGGAAAGAACCAGGGAAGATATTTCTTAAAATTATTTTTATTTCTTTCAGCCTTTTTTATTACGGCTTTATTATTCAAAAATGTGATTGAAATTCTCAAAGAAATCCAAGTTTTTGCACACCTTATTTCTTGAGGTATTAGTGTTAAAAAGTTTTCTTTCAAAGATGAAGGTAATGCATTTTGCTTACATTATGGATTTCACTCTTTAATTGGGAAAATTATATTCTTTATACCAGTTTACGAATGGAAAGTATTATAACCATTGATGACGTTCTTCAAAAGCTAACAATCTTAATGAAGAAGAAAAATTTTCCACGAAGACAATGAAGAAAAAGAAATAGAAGCAAAACAGATAAATCTATGACTTTTTAAAGGTTTTATTGAACCTCTTTGCCTATTCAACCAAGTTTTTTTTCCAGCGTGTTGGAAGTCATTAAATGTAATATTAGCTGTTACGAGTAACTGTTATAGAACTATATGTATGGCTGTTACTAGTTGCTCTGCTTGTTTAAAACAGCCACAATAGCTTTTTGTGCTTGAGAATTGGATACTTGCAACTCTAGAAGAAGTGAAGTGATTATGCCTAACATTGTGATTTAAATCAGATTTAATTGGATACCTATAAGGGACGTCACACGTGTGTGTCGAACCTGATTGTCTTCAGAATCAACAAATGCAGCTATTTACCTACGATGACGTCACTTGCCCTTGAGGTATCCGATTGGGTTTTTATCACAACTTTAATTTAAGTTTTTAGAAAGTGATTTCGTGCAAAACATTTCATTCAGTGAAACAATTAAGAGATTTGAATGTAACTAAAAACTGTTACTCTTCAAAAAAAAGTTTATTTGAATTTTTTTGTTGTTATTGAAAGGAGAGGTAGTTTAGGAGGAGATTGTCTTATTAAGTCATGTAGGGAAATGGACGTTTGATTTAATATCGCATAACAGCCTTCAGAACTTCTCTTACTCAATTACCTCGACTTTTACTGATCAATAACATCGCATTCATTGACGTTGATTGTTCTTGAATTAAGAAACAAATTTAGTAATTTTCATTGTTGTGTTGTGTTGTTGTTGACGTATGCCTGTTTAGGCAGAGGGGATGCGATTGTTTTCCAGTGGCGCCATCTATGACCAAGAATTCGACTTCTGCCACACCATACGTCACACCCGTTTATAGGGCGGACCCATTCATACATCCATTCATTCATCCACAGATCGTAAGTTTGACCTGAATCGATCTCCAATCCAGTACCCCCAGAGGTGTTGATTTGTTATGGGAACATGGAGGACTTTTGCGACTCGACAGATTTAACGTGCATCAGTCACTTTACTACACGGCGAGTCTTCGACCGGCGGGGTTCGAACCCTCGGACATGGGCCCAGGGCCCTACCGACCAGGCTATCCAGGCCCATTTTCATTGTTAAGAAAAATAAAAGAGGATTGTTCTCCAATTTTTCATAGAAACTGGAACTGACGGAGAAATTAGAGGGGGAAAAAATGATTGAAGTTTTTAAATAAAAATTATTACTTGGTGTTTCTTAACACTAATCAATTTTACTTTTCAGCTTCTTATTTTGCTTTTTCTGATCTTTGTACATTTCTTGTTTAGTTATAATTTATTTTTTGGTTTTATTACTTGCCGAGTTTGTGCTTGATGAAGTCCATTACTTCCTCTACCTGATAGTTTCTCAAGCTCTTTATATCTTTCGATGGAACGCTTACATAGCTCAGGACAAGCTGCATCGTCATCCACTATACGCGTAATTCTGCCTTCATCATAATGAGAACTAAAGATTTCTCTGTCCTTATAGTGTTCTTTCTGAAAAATATCAGGATTAGTTGTATCATTCAATTATTATTGATCGTTTTACCTGGTCAAAGAATCAAACCAGGAATACAAGTCGCTTTCTGCATTTGCTTTTTTCTTATTATAATTTTTGACTAATTATCAATTTTTTTATTTTTAATGTTTAATAACACTGGGGAACAATCTTTTTGTTATATATATATACAATTACTTGATTTTACCTAATTCGGGTGTTCAACTAATTTCAAACCTGAAAATAGTTTTGCTCCTAAAGCTGCGGATTTTCCTTTAAAATGACATTTTAAGTCTGTTTTTTGCCGAAATACAAAAGATTAAAAACTTTACACGTGGGTCGCGTAAATGTTGCTTTAAACTTTAAGGAGAGTTAGTGTAAGTCATCAGTATTAAAATTGCATTTATATCCATCTCCAGAAATGGCATCGTACACGGCTAGGGGCACTTTCCCATAATGCCCTGTTCAGAAGCACGCGAAGAAGACGAAGACACAGTTTATAATAGCGAAGCTCCACTAGCGACGTACGACGACACTCCGGGATATGGGTTTATAATATATATATATATATATACATAAA